AATTTAAAAGAGGCAATTATAGATTAAACAAAAAAATGTTTAAAATTATAAAAATTTAAATATAGATGATACAAAATAATTTAAATTTGGAAAATAAATGAAAAAAATAAGAAATGACATTTTTATACTTTAAAAGAAAATAAATTAAAATTTTAACTTAAAAAATAATTCAAAAAAAGAAAAAATTTCATATGAGTATTTTTTTAAAAAAATTAATATAAACGTTTGTAATTTATATCTATAACCAATTATAAAAATATAAAATTTTAAATTAAAAGAGAACAAATTTACTTTAAAAAAAATATGTATAATTAATATAAAAGAATTTAAATTTTAAATTTTAATAAAAAATTAAAAAATTACATCTATGATTCTGTAAAAAATAAATTATTAAAATTTAATCACTATGAAAATGAATTAGCATCCAGCTCCTGCATCGCAAAAAGAAATTTGTCATTCAATGTCCCACTGATTTGTACATTGGAATTCCTTAGCTCTTTTAAATGTTTTCTACATTGAAATTACTCACTCTTTTAAAATTCGAATTCTGAATTGATTTCAAATTTTGTATTTCAATTTTAAATTTCAAATTGTAATGGTAGGAAAGGATTTGGAAATAAAAAATTAAATAAATAATTTTTTTTTTTTAAATCAATGGAAAATTAAAATTAATCATTTATGGTATCAGACAACTCATTCAATATCCCACTGATTTGTACATTAGAATTACTCAGCTCTTTTAAATGCTTTCTGCATTGGAATTGCTCACTCTTTTGAAATTCGAATTCTGAATTGATTTCAAATTTTGGATTTCAATTTTAAATTTCAAATTGTAATGGTGGGAAGGATTTGGAAATAAAAAATTAAATAAATAATAATTTCTTTTAAAAATTGAAATAAAAAATCAATGCAAAATTAAGTTAATCATTTATGGTGACAAACAACTCATTCAATGTCCCAATAATGTACATTGGAATTACTTAGCTCTTTTAAATGCTTTCTGCATTGAAATTGCTCACTCTTTTGAAATTCGAATTCTGAATTGATTTCAAATTTTGTATTTCAACTATTCTAAATTTTGAATTTATGTTTAAATTTGAATTTTGGATTTGAATTTTTAACTTTGTAATGATGGAAAAAAATTTAGAAAATTTTTTGTGGCAGACAACTCATTTAATGTCCCACTACTTTTCTTCTGTTGTATATTATGAGTAAAAAGATCTCTACTTATCTTTTGTTGTATATCTCACTATTTTTTGCATGAATAATTGTTAGCCCTATTAATGCTGCATAAAAAAACAAAAACATTAAAAAATTGTAAAATAACAAAATTATTTATATTGTAAAATAAATTCAATATTTGGAAATAAATTAAATGAAAAACTATGTGAACTTGATATGAGGGAAAAGAGTTCAGCATTTAATATTTATGCAGTGAAAAAAGATATATATAATAAATTTGAATTTAGTATACTATTATAAATTAAACAATAAAATATTTAAAATTATAAAAATACATTTATAGTAGATAAAAATTATTTAAAATTTCAAATTTAAAAGAAAAAAATAAGAAATGGCATAATTTATACTTTACAAAAAATAAATTAAAATTTTATGTCATAGAGTTGAACATAGTCAAATAAGAAATTGAAAGATTTCGTTGAAATTGTTCGTTTGGAAATTTCCTGAAAAGCTAATCATAGGTTCTTCTCTCCATCGGAACAATAGGGCCGTTATGCTCATTACTAAACTTGTTGAAGAGATAAAATAGAACCAAGATATCTCTTTTTTATCAGAGGTTGAATCGATCATCAGAAGAAGAATTAGGCCAAAAATGAGGATACATTATGGGAAAATCAAACTTCCATCGAAGAGAAGCAAATGAAAGGCTTTCATCAAAATTCTCGTAGAATCGATTTTTAAATATACATGTATGACCAATTAAAATAATATACATGTATTTTAAAAGAATTATTTATCATAAAAATTTTAAATATATATTCATAATCAATTAAAAAATATATAAAAAAATAAATTCAAATAGAAATAAATTATACAAAAAATATGTATAATTAATATAAAAAGTTTTAAATTTTAAATTTAAATAAAAAAATGACGTCTTTCATTCTGTAAATTTTTTTTATTAAATTTAAGAACTATAAAAATTAAAATTTTAATTTAGTACATAAGAAAGAAATTAAACTTTCATTTTTTTATTGCAATAGTGTAAATAACACAAATACTTGCAAAAAATTTTTTTATATAAAATGCTGAAAGTTAGAGGTGAAAAACTGCGGGCTGGCCCGCTAATATATTTTTATAATTCAACTGAAATTTTATCCTTCTTCTTTTATAATTAAAATAATATACATGTATTTTTTAAAAAAATATTTAACATAAAGTTTTTAAATATACATGCATAACCAATTAAAAAAATATATAAAAATCATAAATTAAAATAGCAAAACATTATATAAAATGTATGTATTAATATAAAAAGTTTTAAACTTTAAATTTAGATAAAAAATGACGTCTCTCCTTCTATAAAAAAAAAATGTTAAATTTAAGAACTATAAAAATTAAAATTTTAATTTAGTACGTAAGAAAGAAATTAAACTTTTATTTTTTTATTGCAATAGTGTAATTAACACAAATACTTGCAAAAAATAATTATTTATGTAAAATGCTGACAGTTAGAGGTTGAAAACTGGGCTCGGCCTGGAGGGCCGGCACGCCAATTTTTTTTTTTTGAGTTACCCAACCCTAATTATCTCTTTGAGACGAGTTGGCTCCCTCCGGTATCCCCACGAGCTTCAATTTTTGTAATTCAATTGAAATTTTATATTTCTTCTTGTATAATTAAATTACTAAATCTGATTTCAATTTTTGTAAATACAAATTTGTGAAATTCCAAAGACTGACAACACCAATCCTTGCAAAAAAAATTATTTATATAAAATGCTGACAGTTAGAGGTGGAAAACTCGGATCGGCCCGGAGAGCTGGCCCGCGAATATATTTTTATAATTCAACTGAAATTTTATCCTTCTTCTTTTATAATTAAATTACTAAATCTGATTTTAATTTTTATAAATACAAATTTATGAAATTCCAAAGACAAACGACACTAATCCTTGCAAAAAAAAAATTATTTATATAAAATGCTGAAAGTTAGAGGTGGAAAACTGGGCTCGGCCCGCTAATATATTTTTATAATTCAACTGAAATTTTATCCTTTTTTTTTGGTTAATAATTTTATCCTTCTTCTTTTATAATTAAATTACTAAATTTGATTTCAATTTTTGTAAATATAAATTTGTGAGATTCCAAAGACTAACCACACAAATCCTTTCAAAAAAAATAATTATTTATTATTATTTTATAAATCTGATTGTAGTAAATGAAAGTTCATCTCTGAGGTAAAATATAAAAACCTAGACGCAACTATAAAAATGTTTTTTTGTGGATAAATGTAAAAACCTTTTACATGCTAATAGTTAGAGGTGGCAAACTGGACTCGGCCCGGAGGGCCGACCTACAAACATATTTTTATAATTAAATTAAAATTTCATCCTTCTTCTTTTATAATTAAATTCCTAAATCTGATTTTAATTTTTTTAAATACAAATTTGTAAAATTTCAAATGTTAACGACACAAATCCTTGCAAATAATAATTATTTATTATTATTTTTTAAATGTGATTGCAATAAATGAAAGTCCATCTCAAAGATTAGTGTAATTGCTTTGATTCTGTTCATATGCATTTATTGCAATGTAAGCAAAAAATATGACTTATACATACTTATTTGATTAAGTTGCATTCAAATCCCGTTCAGACAACATTTTGTTTGGTCCTTAAAAAAATTTAATCCAATCTTTTTTTGTGTGCTAATACTATGACTTTTGGATGTTAACATATATTAGTGTTACTTATTTAATTAGTTTTTGCCTTCTGTACCGTAGGCACAAGGAACAAAAATCACACAAGAAATGACATATTTAGTAAGTGTTGAATTCATCCCTCCAATGATTGCTAAGAAATGACACTGAATGAATAACGTTTTCATATTATAGGTAAAAGCTGATATTTTAAATTCATATTTGTTTGGTGTTATTGTTACCTTGATTTTGTTGAATGTTATAGTTAGCAATGGTTTGTACGCATTTTTCTTTTTATATCACTTTCTCATGTTAATATGGTGTATTATAACGTATTATGGTGTATTATGATGTAGTTGTATGCAAAATTAATTATCCCTCTGAATAACAGATTTTTGTTTGTGATTGATATTTACAAAGCTCTGTATCAATGCTGTAATTTTCTTCACCTGAAATATAGAACAAAATAACGACACAGTTTTTCTGTAAATATAAGATTTGCAGTGCGATTAACCAATTCCGGCGAACGATAAATTTTTTGATCTTTTTTCCCTGTGCATCGCATGGGTAATATACTAGTTTATGCTAAACGAATTTTTTTTTTTCTAAATTAAATTTTTTATTCATAAACATAATTCCTTCAAAATTAATTCTAACATTTCCCCATATTATCATATTATTATTTTTTTAACACGAAGGATCTATTTCCTTTATTATATCATTCTTGTGTGCAGAATTCTGATTTTTAAGGATTCAGTGGCAATTATTTCCAAAAAAAAAAAAAAAAAGGATTCAGTGGCAATCAAATCTTTTTACAAGAGATATCAAATCACTTAATTTTAGGGATTAAACGCAATCAGTTTCATATTTTTCACTTATTATTTTCCTTTTTTACATGCTGATCAATCCTCACACAAATCAACGGTTATATTTTTTTTATGCACTGACGAGACAATCTCACCTAAACCTCTCAGAATGTTAAATGAGACCGGATAACAAGCACGGTCTGACGGTCTCTCCCAAAGACTTTCTCGTCAAACCCGTCTCCATTAGGCAGCAGTTAGTCTCTGTTGCTCCCAACGTTTCCATGTGTCTACACACAGACACAGCGAATTCCTCTGTTCTTGGATCGTAAACACTTATCACACAGTGTCACAACAGTTCTCCATATTTTCAATGAAGATAAAAATGAAACCAGAGACAGTGACATTAGTGCTGGTCAATTTGGCGGCTATCATGGAGAGAGCCGATGAGTCATTGCTGCCAGGAGTATACAAAGAGGTTGGCGAAGCTCTGAACGCTGACCCCACTGCGTTAGGTTCACTCACTCTGTTCCGATCCCTTGTTCAATCCTTATGTTACCCACTTGCTGCTTACCTCGCCACGCGTCACGATCGTACCCATGTCATAGCTCTTGGTGCTTTTCTTTGGGCTGCTGCCACATTCCTTGTTGCCATCTCCTCCACCTTCTTACAGGTCCTCATTACCTTTTCCTTTCAATTTTACCATTGTTTTCCTTATGATCTTTTTTTGTTGCCAATTTTTTATTTTTTATTTTTTAGCAGTTGTGAAAATATAATTAATCAATTTTTTTTTGTAAACATAATTAATCAATTTAATTGAAAGTTAAGAATTACTTTCTTAGATGTTTGGTTCATAAAGGGTGCAGAAACGCCAGCATGGGATAGGTTACAAATTTGCATAACAGTTTGTTGTCTGTGATCAGTTAACCAATTTATTTCTAATTAAGCAGAAAATATTCAGTTAACCATAAAATTCTATGATTATGTGGAATGTTACAACTCACAACAAGTTCAAAATATAAAAACAAACTAAAGAAAAAACGAATGTGTTTATTTGTTTGGACTTTGGACAATTGCGATTGCCATATAGTCTATGTAGAATCTTCCAGAACTATTGTCATTTCTTTTTTTCTTTTTTTTTGGGTATAAACTAAGGGTTTTATAAGAGTTATGTTTTAGGAAAATTGATTGTGTAATGTTATAGAGATTCGTTTTGCGCACTATAATTTTTTCATTTTCTTTTTTTCTTCAAAAAGTGTGGGTCCCGTGTAGGAAAGTTTGTTGTGTTATGTTAAATGATAAATACAAACCCCGTGAACTAACTGCTAAAATATAGAGCTTATTATTTATTCCAGTACTCTTGTAATTGGATACTCAGACCACCAATGGGGTTGAAGAAGAGAAGCAGCCATGAGTCCATGACCTTTAACTAACGTATTCATAACTAAATAACAAAATTACGACTCTTTCACTGTACAATTGGTTATTTATAATACTTTAAAAAAAAATTGATATAAGTAGATAATTCTGAATGTTAGTGTAAATGTTTATAACTCTATAAAAATTGTTAAGTTATTTTTTTAAATAAAAAATGCGAAAATTAGGCAGTTTAAACAGAAAAATATAAGTTTTTTTTTCACAAAATACTAAAATTTGTAGGTTCTTTAGTGAATATTGTAAGGGATTAATGTTTCTCATTTTGTAGAAGATAATTTTATCTCTTACATATATAAAAGTATGTGGGGCCCATGCAAAGAGAAGAGAGAGAAAAAAAACATAAGTCTCACATACTTTCATGTGTGTAAGATATGAGAAATACTAATCTCTTATTATAAATATTATATATCAACACATCATAGAATAGAATGACAAATAGTAATTCTTACAAAGAATTGCACCAAGATTATTTGCATAACAAATAGTTATAATTTTGTATATTTTTTATTCGCCCATGTTTTCTAACTCCTACTTGTTCCATAAAATGGATTATTAGGTGGCAATTTCAAGAGGTTTAAATGGGATTGGACTCGCAATGGTTACTCCAGCAATTCTGTCCCTAGTTGCTGACTCCACAATTGATAGCAACCGTGGAATGGCTTTTGGGTGGCTGGCACTAACAGGACAATTTGGGAGCATCATTGGTGGGCTTTTCTCTGTACTTATAGCCTCAACATCATTTGCGGGTATACCTGGTTGGAGAATAGCTTTTCATCTGGTTGCATTGATTAGTGTCATAGTTGGTATATTGGTACGCCTCTTCGCTAATGATCCACACTTTTCAAAGAGTGATGAAAGAGCTTCATATCAAAATCCAAACAAGTCCTTTTATTCTGAAATGAAAGATCTAATGAAGGAAGCAAAGTCAGTTATGAGAATTCCATCGTTTCAGATAATTGTGGCTCAGGGAGTCTCTGGATCATTTCCCTGGTCAGCCTTGTCATTTACCACTCTTTGGTTAGAACTTATAGGCTTCTCCCACGTGAAAACAGCACTGCTTTGGACCCTATTTGTGCTTGCTACTTCATTTGGGGCCCTGTTTGGAGGATGGATGGGGGATATTTTATCCCAACGCTTACCCAACTCTGGGAGAATAATGTTGTCACAAATAAGCTCAGGTTCAGCAGTTCCTCTAGCAGCCATTTTGCTGTTGGCATTGCCTGATGATCCATCCACGGCCTTCATGCATGGTCTGGTTTTATTTATCATGGGATTGTGCATATCCTGGAATGGTGCAGCAACTAACAAGTACGTATTGATGACTGTCATTGTTTATTTTATTTCTATTTAGAATTCACAAGATTTATGGGGATTTAGCAAGCAGCATAAAAACTCATTGCATTCCTCCAAATATTCTCCATTATTATGATGTTAGGAAGAATATTTAACTAACGAAGTTAAATGATGGATTATCTTGGATCGCTTATACTAAGGATGCAATTTATTTCCTTATAGATTCTTATAACCACATCAAGCATTAAGGGCATGCGCTCATTACAGGCATCTAGTTGGATGTCAAGTCCATGAATTCTAAGAGAGGGACACTAACTAAATAAAACAAACATATATAAATATATATATATATATTACGTTGCTGTATAAAGGAAAGTTTGCTTAATATTGTGTTTTGCTCCTACCTTTATCACTATGTCTATATGCATAATGTTGTGTTAACCCTCAGGGGTTTAGCCTTGTTGTAGAGATAACATATGATGCGTGGTTAGGAGTGTTGTAGGCATGTTCTAAGTATTTGAGCAAGTATTGTGCAAGGTGTGCGCAAGCTAGGTGTACAAGGTGCGCAAGCACCCAAACATCATTCTTTGAAATTGTTTTAATTGTTTGCTTTGCATTCTTTGAGCAGTAGAAATGCGTCAAAAACATTGGGAATTCTTCAGCTCTTAAATTTCTTTCATAGCTAACTCTTTATCAAATAAAAGAATTTCCTGCCATTATTCAATCTATTGTATTCCATAAAGTTGTAATGAATGAGGTTCTCTTCCTTTTTTTGTTCTAAGTTTTTCTCTTAAGAGAGGATATCAATGGTCTTCTTCTATCATTCTAGAGCTTTTAATGCTGCTAGCCTGCTGCTAATGTATGTGCACATGGCTTCTAGGAGTAATGATTACTATAAAATACAATAAAGTCATTGAAGCTAACAACTATTGATCATGTGCACTGTGTTTGGTTTAATTTTAAATTTAACAGTATGGACAGTCCAATATTTGCAGAGATAGTCCCTGAGAAGTCCCGGACGGCTATATATGCTTTGGATCGATCTTTTGAGTCTGTATTGGCGTCCTTTGCTCCACCTATTGTTGGAGTTTTGGCTCAACATGTTTATGGTTATAAACCAGTTCCAAAAGGATCCTCGGGTTCTGTTGAGATTGAAACAGATAGGGGAAATGCTGCATCACTTGCCAAGGCACTTTATACTGCAATTGGTATTCCCATAGCTATCTGCTGCTTAATCTACTCATTCCTTTACTGCACATACCCGAGGGACAGGGAGAGAGCACGAATGGTTGCGTTAGTGGAATCAGAAATGCAGCAGCTAGACGTGGAAGGCTATGGGATGAAAGGTGAAGAAAGTAGCAAGATTGACATACATTATACAAGGGAAGAGAGCATAGACTTGGATGATAATGATGAGAAAGTTTTGCTGTCCCAGTAGTTCACTTGGTCATTTGATCAAGTGCTACAATTTTTGGAAATTGTTACAGCTTTTTTTGTTCTGATGCAATTACACGAATACGAGTGTAGTTTATCTGTTACACAGACTACGAAAATCCATTCATATAAATTTCTATTGTTATTTAATTTCTACTTTTAAAATCAAAACATATATTATACAAGAAATATAAATTCATTAGATTCTATTTATTCTTTTTTTGTGATTACAAATAAATTTGTTCTACAGCTACAATTTACTTCTACTTTGACCCTTCATTCTTGAATTCAGTGTGTTTGATTTTAAAAAAGTGTATTCTACTTCTTTTTTTCTTCATATTTTTAAATTTTAAAACCATACATGTTTACTTTGCATAGTTAAATCCTGTTTCTAAAAAACAAAACTTAAAAATATGTTTGGTTCTCTTAAGGAACTGAAAATTTTGAAAATAAAATCTGACTACAGGGAATATAATTAACTTTGTTTTTATATGTATGCACATGCTTTCATTATTTTATATAGATTCTAGACATGGTTCAGTCAAATTGTTTTAAAAAAGGGTAAATGAACTATTATGTTACATAAGGTAGCATTACAATTCCTACTCTCACAATACAGATGAGAGAGAAAAGAGAAGAGTGGAGAGAGAAAAGTTAAGGGATAGGGTCCACGTATAATTGTGAGAGTAGAAATATTTTGTTACATGATGTAACATAACAATTTATTTACCCTTTAAAAAATTAGTGAAATCATTTATTATTTGCTGCAGGTCTGTTTAAATAATGCAAATCGCAGATAAAGTTATTTTTATTTTAATGCTGGTAAGCACGAACAGTGGTTACATTTTAATTATTACCGCCAAGTTTTTCTCTTTTTATTAAAAAAAAAAACCCACCAACTTGTTAATATTTTTTTTAATCCTCAACTTGTTCATTTTTATAACCATATATTATATGCATCAGCACATGGCTACAAGATTTCCGAGAAGACAAAAACGAGCAAATATAATAACATTTTGTGAAGATTTATCCAACCGTGCCATGATCCATCCTCCAATATTATATAGGACGATGTAGAAGTCTTTTGTCTATATCATTTAGCGAAAAATTCACATAAAAACTTTCTCTGAGGAAACCACATCTCCATGTTGCCCCTACCGTTTCCATGTGTCTCTCCAAAGACACAGCAAATTCATTCCTGTGTTCTTGGATTGTGAACACAGAACACATAAAGTCAGAACAGTTATTCATTGAAAATGAAATCAGAGACAGTGACGTTAGTGCTGGTCAATCTTGCGAGTATTATGCAGAGAGCTGATGAATCTTTGATGCCAGGAGTGTACAAAGAGGTTGGTGCTGCTCTGAACGCTGACCCAACTGCGTTAGGTTCACTCACTCTCTTTCGATCTCTTGTTCAATCTTTATGCTACCCACTAGCTGCTTACCTCGCTATGCGTCATAATCGTGCCCATGTTATAGCTCTCGGCGCTTTTCTTTGGGCTGCTGCCACATTCCTCGTTGCCATCTCCTCCACCTTCTTACAGGTTTCAGGTTACCCTTATTTGCTTATGATTATTTTGTTTATAGAAAGCCAAATGGGTCGTGTTATCCCTTCTCTTTGATTCCTTTAGGCCTTTGACCGCATGGAATTTTGGTTACCAAGACAAGTCAAAAGTATTTTCCTTTTTTATGGAAAATTATCCTTAAACATTATTTTTGTTATTAATTTTTTATCTTTTTAAAAAAGAAAGTGTATTAGGACACAGAAATGTTACTTATTAAAAAATATAAAAATAATTATAAATAATAAAGGAAAGATCATAAGTTTCTCTCTATTTTTTATTTTACTTGCAGAAAACTAAATGTAAGAATAAACGACATTGTTCACAAAATATTAAAATTGTTGTTTAGAGCATATTATAATATCCTTTATCAATACATTGTAGAATGACCCCTGAATTGTAATTGTCACAAAGAATTACACTTAGGATTATCTGCATAACAAATGGTTATAATTTTGTATAATTACGATTTGACCGTGTTGCATAATATGGATCATTAGGTGGCAATTTCAAGAGGTTTAAATGGGATAGGACTAGCCATTGTTATTCCAGCAATTCAGTCCCTGGTTGCTGACTCCACCGTTGATAGCAACCGTGGCATGGCTTTTGGGTGGCTGCAACTAACAGGAAACTTTGGAAGCATCATTGGTGGGCTCTTCTCAGTACTTATAGCCTCAACATCATTTGTGGGTATACCTGGTTGGAGAATAGCTTTTCATCTGGTTGCATTGATTAGTGTTATAGTCGGTATATTAGTACGCCTCTTTGCTAATGATCCACACTTTATAGAGAGTGCTGGTAGAGCATCATGTCAAGCTCCAGACACTACCTTTTATTCTGAAATGAAAGATTTAATGAAAGAAGCAAAGTCAGTTATGAGAATTCCATCATTTCAGATAATTGTGGCTCAGGGAGTGTTTGGATCATTCCCTTGGACAGGCTTGTCATTTGCCCCTCTTTGGTTAGAGCTAATAGGTTTCTCCCATGTGAAAACAGCATTTCTTTGGACCCTATTTATAGTTGCTTCTTCATTCGGGTCTCTATTTGGAGGATGGATGGGGGATACTTTATCCCAACGATTACCCAACACTGGGAGAATAATGCTGTCACAAATTAGCGCTGGTTCAGTCATTCCTTTAGCAGCAATTTTGCTGTTGGCTTTGCCATATGATCCATCTACAGCCTTCATGCATGGTCTGCTTTTAGTCATCATGGGATTCACCACAGCCTGGAATGCTCCAGCAACTAACAAGTATGCATCCATGACACCAATTTTTTATTGTCTTTTAGAATGACATGCGATTTTGGGCTTTATCAATAGTATAGCTTTATTTCCTTTATTACCATTTTTTTTTAATACGATTGATGTTTGAACCTATAACCTCATGTAAACTATCTAAATCCCTCACCACTAGGTCAATTCGATTAAGTAATCACAATTTAATTAATTTTTAAATAATTGAGACAAAATTAGATATTCACGTTCATCATTATATATAGAATAAATTTTGTTCTGACCAATTCCTTTAGGCCCAGAAAAGTGAGGCATAATCTTAAGAGCCCACATCTAGAATTTTCTAAAGGGCACCTCATTGATAAGGGATTCCCTTTTTTCTCGCACTACTGCCCATTGTGCACTGCACTGATCGTAAGGCAGTATGTCTTGTCTCAGTGACAAGAGTTGGCTAGGTGGAATAGTTTATTGAAGACATCTCCTCCCTAACTACCCCTTTCTCCCATGGAAGAGAGGATCATTATCTATTCATTTTATGAGCTGTTATTCTGCACAAATGTAGAGTCACCGTAGCCATTTACACACGCTTCCCCCTTTACACACTGCAATGGGAAACTCAACGGTGCTTTGATTCATACCATTGCTACTAAAAGTACTCTTGTATCAACATACTACACCCTTTGAGGAAAACATCAATGGCTCTACACAAACACTTATCGGTTCAAATTTAAAGTTAGAAATTAGTTGTACGATTAATGATTTAAAATACAATTTGATATTCTTATTGTGTGGACAGTCCAATATTTGCAGAGATAGTACCTGAGAAGTCCCGAACAGCTATATATGCTTTAGATAGTTCTTTTGAGTCTATATTGGCGTCATTTGCTCCTCCCATTGTTGGAGTTTTGGCTCAGCATGTTTATGGTTATAGACCAATCCCAAGCGGATCCTCGAATTCTGTTGAGATTGAAACAGATAGGGAAAATGCTGCATCACTCGCCAAGGCACTTTTTAGTGCAATTTTAATTCCTATGGCAATCTGCGTCTCCATCTACTCATTCCTTTACTGCACATACCCGAGGGACAGGGATCGAGCAAGAATGGTTGCATTAGTGGAATCAGAATTGGAGCAACTAGAGGTTGATGACTGCACAAAAGAAGAATATTGTGAAATTCACGTTTTAGAATCAAATGGGCTGAATGATAAAGACAGTATAGACCTGGATGATAATGATGAGAAAGTTTTGCTGTCCCCGTAATAGGCGACTCCCAAAAAACATTCATATCATGTTCATTCCTTAATTTTTGACAGAATGCATGTTCAATCATTCTTGACGACACAATCTCCAGGCATAGTAATTTCACGTTATATAAGATATGGTGTTTCAAATTTTATTTTATTTTATTCCGATCTTAATTAGTTCTTTAAAGCGAGTCGGGATTTATTAAAGCTCGTTGTCCCTTCCCAAAGATGTATTTGGTGAAAATCAAACTCAGTTCTCCTTCCATCTACGCCTGTAATTGAGCTATACACTCATTGAATTGGTATTTCACATCCTGTATTTTGTCTCTTATTATGCTTATGATGAGTTTTATGTATTTAAGATGTCCAAGGTACATCATCTGTAATATATATATATATATATATATAGAGAGAAAAATATCTGTCATTCTAAAGGATGTAAAGTTGTGCCATTTTAAAAGAGAGAAAAAGATAGATAAAGAAAGAGAGAGAGTTGACCAAAAAAAATAAAGGAGAGTGAAAGGATATAAGTTGTGTCATTTAAAAGGATAAACATTTTTTCCATATATATCACCGGACAAAACTAATGAAAATTATGAGAAAAGTTTGTGAAATTCTCTCTCTTCGTTGAATTTATTCTCTCCCTTTTCTCCCTATTCCTCAATCTATACTCGTCTATCACTCTTAAGTTCCGGTAAGCATCCGCTACATCTTCACATTTTCAATTTGTGATTTTATTTATAAAAAATTAAGAAGAAAGTGGCAAAAGTAACTTTCTATGATAGGGGAAAAAATATGTATTCACGCAAATTTAAGTCTTTTTAAAAAAGAGATAGATGCAAAGAAATAGTATCTACATCTTTATTTTATTTTTTTGTCTTTACTTTTTTCAATGGAATCTCTATCTCTTTGTGTCTATCTCTTTTTTAAAAGGATTTAAGTTTATGTTTTTTAAAAGGATCTAAGTTTATATTTTTTAAAAGGACATATATTTTCCCCTTATTTATACACTATTGTCACCGATCAAATACTTTTTTTTAGTGAAGATAAAAAATAATGATAAAACACAATAAACCAAGTAGGTCGTTATTTTGTTTTGTTTTTTTCATTTTTTATTTCATTTCTTCATTTAAAGTTGCTGTTTTTTTAGCAGATGAGACTAATTTTCTAAACCTTACAAATATATTGGCTCCGATAATCCGAAAGGGGTTGGGCCACCACACGATTTTTATCATTCCCTGACTACGTGGTCTCACAATGATTAGCTTTGTTGTCCCTCTAGATCTATCATCATTCCCTTCTTTCATTGCTTCATTATTAGCTTCTCATGCATATTCCCGGCAAAGCAAATCCAGTAATGTTTGGCTATGATAGATCAAGCGTATAATCTAAACCTACTTATGTCAATTACCTGACATAGTACCATTGTGAATCTTTTAACTTCAGCTCGCGAGGCCCTGCCTTTGATCAGACTACAAGAGACAAATTACTGACCAGTTTTTTTTTTTTTTAATAAAACTCAAAATAATGGCATTAGTGATCGCTAATAATAAGAAATATTCTTTATTTGTAATCACTGGCTGGGCCACTTAGGTGGTCTCGGCCAGGCTAAATTTTAATAAATTGTATTTGTTACGTATAATTATATAATTAATTATAATTTGGCTCGGGTTAAAATTGTAATTTGGTTCGGACTAAAATTTGTATTTGGCTCTATCAAAAAATTAAAATATATTTGGTAAGAGATTTGAGTAAGTTGTATTAGGTTATGTGTTCAATTCTCACTTATATAAAAAGAAATTAAAAAATATTTAATAAAATTATAACTTTTCTTAGTGCTATCTGCTCAGATGCTTTGTATTTAATATAATTTAAATATATTATAATATGTACAGATTAAAATTAAAAAAATAAATACACATATAATTTTTGGCCCGCGCCCGGCTCCGTTTGTAATGTTTTGCAAGGTTTTCTGATAACCTTTGAGGATATAGGTGAACCTCATTCTTATTTGAGGTAGTGTTTCTTTTGAATGATATTTATTTTATGAGCTCTCGGACATTACTATTGCAGAGATTCTTTAAACACTGATTGGGTGGAAGTGATTTAAACTGGCACAATTAAAGCTCACGACCACAATAATAAGTTTGACTTGTTAAAACAATAATTGGTTTTATTGGTTCAAGTTCAACTCACAATAATAATTGGATTTTGGATTTGCAAGGTATTCGTGTCGTGTTATGTCAACTCGTATGATAAGTCACTTTGAGTTTATGAATTACTTATATTATGTCATTTCAACCCGTAAAATAAGCGGATCGTGTTTGTATCAAAAAATTTAACATGATATAAAATTTGTGTAATATTCATATTGAGTATATTTGTATTAGTTTCGAATTTATATCGTGTCGTGGGTGTCGACTTGAAACCCTACACCTAATTCAGTTATTTGATGACTCAGACTCATGATATGTGCGCGTGATTTAATAGATAAACAAATAAATATCACACTCAGTTGGTGCAAGAGAGTTAAAGAGGTGGTGGAAGGATCTAGATTCGATTCCCATTAATATCACCTTTGGAAGAAGTATAAAATTTTAATCTCTGATCCACCCCAAACTCGGGATTAGTCTCATAGCCGACTCGAAGAGCTGAAACTTGTGAAGATATCAAGGATCCTACTCGTTTCAAATAAGTAATTAGGATTGATATAATAAAATAAACTAAACAAATAAATCAGTTAATATGAAAAGTCAAGATTTTCCTATTAAACTGAAAAAATTTCCTATATGTCAAACTGAAAATTTTCTATTTAAAGGCTAATATATATTGGTGAAAAAATAATTCATTTAATTTTTTTGTATTTATCTATCTCATAGAAAAAACTCATACGAAATTATGTATTTTTAAAGTATGTATTAATATAATAAGAAAATATTAAAAAATTATTTAATGTTGAGAAAGACAAGTTGGGCATGGTATTGTGCATTTAGCTGGCTAAATGAAAACATGGACAACCAAAAATAGACCAAAATTATTATGGGGTTACTTTTGTGTTGTGTTGTCACGTGCATGACCACTTGTTTTAATATTAAAAAATTATTATGGAGTTACTTTTGAAATTTTATATCATTTACCTATCAATATTTTATTTTCAACCAAACATAGATTTTAAAAACTTTAATCAATTTGCTTAGTAATATTTGGCCCAACCAAACAATTTTTTTTTAACTTTTCCATCTAACTCACTTTTTCTACAGATCCCTGGTAATTACATTTTCCTGATCAAAAAAAATTTCACCTGAACCAAACGCCCCTTACAAAATTCAAAGAAAATGACAATGATCCTGATGACATTTCACCCAGAAATTTAATAACGGTAAGACTAATTTCATTAGATTATGTACTTTTTTTTTTTTGGTAATCATTAGATTATGTACTTTGCTTTTACTAGCTTTTACTATATTACTATATCTATTTTTATATTTAAAATTATCCTCCATAAATTGGTTAAATGTAATACTTATGCACACAGATAAATCAGCAAATTCTGTAATTTTATTCTACTTGTTGTTTCTAGTACACGAAACCTTCTATTGATGATTTTGTGTCCATTGTTATTTCTTTGTTAATTTTTTTAACTTTTACCCATCACTAATTCATTTTATTATTATTTGGTCCGTTGTTATTTCTTCAACCTTGTAATAATTTCCAGCTTCGCACATTTATATCCGCCTTGGATACTCGTTGTGGTTCCACTTCTTTTTTTCTTCCTCCTTTTTGGTGGGAGAACTTTCAGTACTCTGGGATATTCTAGGAGCACATGTTCCTTCCAAGCTCGTTTTTAGTAGTCCGAGAGCTTGTATTCCCCTTTCAAAAATAGGAGAGAAAAAAGGATTGACAGAAAATTTAGAAAAAAGATAAGAATATAAATGAAAAAAAAAATATTTCCTACCAAATATGATTGTGGTCCAGAAGTATATTAAAAAATTCCATTCCTTCATTTAAAAAGATGGCATCTAGCTTAATTTTTTTTTTCTTTCCTTTATACACATATCATATTTTCTCTCTCCAATTTTCTATAAATTATGCTTATGTTTTTAGAAAAAAAATCTATTTAAAAATTAGGCTATAGGTCCATTCTAAGAACTCTAGTCTAAAAGTTTATAGGTTGATTTTTTTATTTTTTTTAATAAAATAATATATTTATGAAGGTTGCAAGAGTAAATTTTTTTTCTAAAAATAACTATTTCATATGTTATTATAAATATGGGGAAAATATTTCTGCAGTTACTGCAGATAAGTTATCTGCATTTATTTCCAAAACGACGTCGTTTTGATATTGAAATCTTAAAAAAATTATAAATATAAATACTATTATAACCCTGAAATAAATTAAAATTATAAAAATACCATGATTTTCGTCCCAAAACGACGTCGTATTGGTCTTACTGCAGATAACTTATATGCAGTGACTGCAGAAAAAATGAACTCTATAAATATTATTTAAGGTTCTTTGTGATCTTGTTAGAAAAATTATTTAAGAAATTTTATAATTTATATACTCTTGTGGCAAATATTGTTTAATGAATTAAAATTTTCATCTTTTTTATCTTAGTTTGGTTGGCAATTTTATAAGCCTAAAAGGCCTTAGAGGTCATGTTAAGTTTTTCTTTTTTACAATAAAATAGATCAAACCTTTAATAGATTAATAGATCATTATAAGCTTTCAATATTGAGAAATAATTATATCATATTGCATGAGATAATATCTCATGCAACGGAAACAAAATAGTGGGATCCACTACTTTTTCTCTTTTTGAAAAATAGTGGATTCCACAATTTTATCTCTGCTACAAATGAGATTAATAGATCCCTTCAATATTTTATATAAACTTAAGATAGTAAGACCTAAATTACCTATCCTAAACCAGTTCATTTATATTCCTCAGAAGCAAGATAACTTATTTCCTGAGTACGACACTTTCTCATTTATGCCAACAGCAATGTGAACACACTAGTGAGACCGGGAGAGGATTTCGTACATTGTCGGTAAGGTAGTTCCAGTGCTTAATTTCGCCGTTGAATAAATGCAATCCTTAACATTATCTATACGATAAATTTTGTTCATACATATTAAATTAGAGTTCAATTTCATAAAATTAATTAAATTTCTCTTTATTTTTGCTTGGGAAATTATTATTTATTTTAAATTTAAATTCCTTTAAAAATAACTATATATCTTTTTTTTACAATTTTAGTATTCTTTAATTTATATTTTTTCTGTTTATTTAAATTGTTTGTACATATCATTTATGATTATTAATAAATTAAATATATTTTTTAGTTTTTAATTTTAATTTTTTTATTAATTTTTTTCTTTTAATTTATATTTTATCTAAATTGAAAATATTTGCGTAATGCACAGAATACTTACTAGTAATATAATTTTTTATACTTTAGTTTAGAAAGTGTATGAAAAATATTTTTTATTTTTTTATTCCGAAAAATTAAATGTAAAAACAATGTAATAAAAATAATACAAAAATAACATTTTCAAATGTAATATCATTATAATTAAGAGGTAAGATATTTTTACTACCAATTTTATTTACTACTACTCCACTGTCACTTTAATTAGCATTGAATTCAAAAGTTAATTTTTTTCACTCTTTTCATTCAACTTTTTATCTGATTCAATGATAATTAAAATAATAAAAGAAAAAATTAATAGAAAGAATATTCTACCTCTATAATTAATTTAATATACTGTGTACACTTTTTATAAGGATGCGTACATGTTTCCTTTCCACATTCATGCATGTTTGAAGCATCTATTAAAGCGCATTGTGTTCGTTTACCGAAAGAAAAATAAAACGCATTGTTTTTTTTGGATATATATTTTTTTTGGATATTAAATAAAACGCATTGTGTTCCACTGCTAACAATCTCGACATTAATATTCACCGCACTATTTTATTATTATTATTTTATTATTTTTTGCTGAGTGGCTATGTCCCAAAACAAAATACAAAAATAAAAATTACATCAATAAATATTTAGCCTTGTGAACAGAGCTAAAATCAAAAAAATACAACCATATAATCTTAAGAGGAAAAATTGAAATAAAATAAAGTTTTCTTGATCTGAATTCTCCAGCGAAAGATTAATTAATCAGTACGCACAAATATTACCTTCCCTATAAGTATGTAACAAATGAACCGACCAATTTTTTAAAAGCCGTTTTCGTATACGAGTCACTAAATGAGACTCACAAGGTGCATCACCTGATTTCAAACCCACTTTGTGAAACTAATTTCGGGTATTTCCTTACACAAATTATTGTTATTTGATGAAATCTATATCTTCATTATCAATCTTTTTAGGGCTTTAGATTCATCATGCAACATGACTACATTTTTTTTCTTACAAAGAAAAGACAAGTTAAATAATAATAAAAAAAGTTGAAAAGACACATTATTCAATGACTTTACTTTGTCTTTAGTAGTTGCATGACACCAATTTTTTACATGCAACATGATTCTTATTTATCCTATCTTTTTAATACTTATTTTTAAATGAAAAAAATTAGTGTTACTGTACATTCGAGCGCCTATGTACCGCCAACCTATGGACATTGACTATGTTCCCACCCCTTTAATAAAAATTATCAGATTGCCACGCCAGGAAAAAATTTGCCAAAATGCCACGTCACAATCACGCTGGTCTAACAAGCAGGAATGGTCTGGACACGTGTCAGCGTCTGAATGGTCAACCATTCTCGCTGGACTGCCCAGCTAGAATGAGAGAACGCTGACACGTGACAAAAGTACAGACATCCAGAAAACGTTTGTACTTTTGCTACGTGTCAGCATTCTATAATTCTAGCTGGGCAGCTCAGCGAGAATGGTTGATCATTCAGACGCTGACACGTGTCCAGACCATTTCTGCTTGTCAGACCAGCGTGATTGTGACATGGCATTTTGGCAGAAAAAATTCCTGGCGTGACAATCTGATAATTTTTATTAAAGAGGTGGCAACATGGTCAATGTCCATAGGTTGGCAGTACATAGGCGCTCGAATGTACAGTAACATCAACTTAATCCACTAGGATTAGCCTAGTGGCGTGGAATGTGTGTTAGGTGTTTGTAGTGTAGTGTTGTGTGTTCAATTCCCATGTAATGCAAAAAAAAATAACATCAAATAACTAACTTAGTTTGTTTAACTAAATTATTTCTATTTAAATATTAAACATATTATACTTCGAATAATACTTTATGTAATTTCAGTAATAGATAAACTTCATAAGAATAAAGTTAGCAAAAAAATAAACAAATTTATCATTTAAAAAAAATTAAAATAGATGAAGTAAGTATTAGGAAAATTATTTGTTATTAATAGAAAGCTTTTGGAGCATATAGCGAAGAGTTCCACTGTAACGTCCTAACACATCTTAATAATTTTCTTAATACTTAATAAAACGTATTAAATGAAAAAATATATATTTAATACTAATAATATTAAAAGTATTTAAATTTTCTTACTTAATAATTAAAAATTATTTATACGATTGGTAGGAAAGTTTAGAAATTTTCTATAAACAAAACTCTTATTATTTTGTAGCCTCTTGGTCAACAAAGTCACTGAAATTAGTAAGTTATTGACCTGTGAGATCTGTCAGAACTCAGATGAATACTGCCTGTAACATGGGGGAAATATATTTAATAATTGAGTACATCCATTTAATAAATTGGAAAAATTTAAAGGAATATAAAAAAGAATAGTTAAAATGAAAAAAAATTATCCATTTTAATAAACAAATGTCTCAAGTTCGGTACACGACAAAAGTTTGCTCGTTGATATGCTTATGCATTTATAAGGCCCCCTAGAAGAAAAAAGAGAGGAAGTGACGCAGTAATAGCTGCGGGTCCGCTAAAACAGCGGAGGCAGCGAATTCTACAGTCTCGAAGTGCCATGTGAATATGTGATAGATCCCAATCCCTTTACCACTTTGGCAGCACACACTTCCACTCGTTTGTTTCAGTTCTCTTTAGCCCATAAAGCAAGTGCAAACTACAAAGCATAAAAATCCTTTACTATTTTACCACACACCCTTTCTCTCCCCACCTTTTCTTTCTCTTCCCAAACACTATATATTACTGTATAGTTAGATCTTAGGTTAGGGAGCCTCTGCCCCGTAGATCTTGAAGGAAGCCAGTGTAGCTTGGCTTAGACAATGGCTCAGTTCATGTACTTCTGTTGCAAAAAGGTACTCTTTCTCTCTCTTCTTATATTCCTTTTTGTTTCTGTTTGCTTCAGTGCCTGGTCGGAACCTCAACTTGAGAGCACACGGTTGTCTAGTAGTAGAGGTAGTGGAAGAAAAATGTTGGAGACCGAAAAAGAAGAGCAAGTGAAGCCCTTGAAAAAGAAAACCACCAGCCAATCTATCAAAAACCAGACCAAGCTAATCAAGCCCAATAGTCTTTCTTCAAAAAACCAAACCAAAACCATCAAATCCGATAACATCTCCTCCAAAAACCAATCCAAAACCATCAAACCCAATATTATTTCCACCAAAAACCAAACCAAAACCATGAAATCCACTAACATTTCCACCAAAACCATCAAATCCAATAACCTTTCCTCCAAAAACCAAACCAAGCTAGTCAAGTTTAGCTCCAAATCCAATTCATCTTCAACAACCACACCCGCCGACACTCGGCTCAAGAAGCTCAACTCCATCACTTCCACCCCCAAGATCAAGAAGCTGATCGTCACATCAAAACCCCAAACCAACTCCTCAAAACCGAGTTCAGTTTCCATTTCAAACAAGAAATCACTGGATCTCGTTAAAGCAAGTAACAAAACTACAAAAGCCACCGCTTCCACCAACAAGGACAAGCAAAAAAACAAAACAACCAAGGTAGATCAAACTCACGAGGCAGACAAGAAACAGAAGACAGCTAGCCCGAACCAACAACAGAGCAAGAAACCTACGAAACAAGCACCACCGAGTTGGATTATTGAAGAAGAAGAAGAGAACGATGATTTTGTTTCAGAGTTCAAAGATCTACCCAACAAGTTTCACCGTACACTGATCCCAGACCTCGAACGAATCTCAACAACCTCAAGAGCTTACATAACCAAAGCCAATAATGAGATGACAAAAGGTTTCAAACCTTACGTTGGCAAAAAATACGCACCCACCATTGCCACCATAGTTTCTTGTGCTTTCATATTGATCCCTTTGCTCTTAGTCTCTCTCCTTTGCACAAGAATCAAAGCCTACTTCTCCATCCAGAAGATCTTAATCGTCATCCAAGTCTACCTCTCAATCTACTTCACCATTCTCTGCATCTCCTCGTTGGCCACTGGCCTTGAACCTCTCAATTTTCTATACTCTACTTCGCAGTCCACCTATCTGTGCCTGCAGGTGCTTCAAACTCTGGCTTATGTCTTCTATCTGCTCCTCCTCTTGATGTACCTTCTCCTTGTCTTCTCAACAGAATGTGGGCTGGGCTCGAAGTTTCTGGGCCTGGCCCAGACCTTCGTGGGCTTTGCTGTTGGGCTCCATTACTATGTCACGGTATTTCACAGGGTAGTGCTGCGGCAACCTCCCAAGACGAACTGGAAGGTCCACGGGATTTATGCCACGTGTTTTCTCGTCATTTGTGTACTTGCTAGGGCTGATAGAAGGAAAAAGGCTTACGTGGAAGATGATGGAGGAGAAGGCAAGCAGAATTAGGCTACCTATATTATTTTTATTTTCATTTGATTCAATTTAGAAATTAAAATTATCCACAAGCAACAAAGTAAACTTGTTCATGTTCATGTAATGCCTCAAGTAGAAATTCAGATTCGTTCTACAAATAAAAATGGGTTTTATTTTATACACGTTTCATGAATGACTCTGTCAAATAATAATTTGTAAGACTTGTTTTTGAAATTGTCATGCTAAAGTTGGGGCTGAATTTAAAAATAAATGTTTTTCGGTGAATTTAGTAGTAGTGAAATGTAGTAACTAAAAAAGTATGGAATCAATTTCTGCTACTTGTTTTTTTTTTTGGGTTGTGGTTTCTTCTTTCTTAAATGGTGTTTTTGGATGCTATCTTTCTGATTTCCAATGTTGTTTCCGTTAAAATGTGCACATTTCTCGTATAATTCTTAGGGGTTTATTAGTCTTATATAGCTGAGATGGCTTATCTCATGCTATAGAAATAAATTATGTGGATTTCATTATTATGTTTTTAAAAAAAAAATGGCATGACTTTTAATATTTCACTCACATAAGAGAATTCTCTTTACTAATATAAGATAATTTAAACTCTAATTCTTATTAACACAAGGGAGAGAGAACAAAAATGAGTTTTTTTAAATAAATACATAGTTCATTTATTAAAAAAATAAAATCATTTTTTACTTCATATAATCATATGTACATATGAGTTTTTTTAAATTTTAAAGAAGCGACCTATCATCGTTAGGTTGATAAAAAGCAAAACACGTTATTGTAAGTAATAAAAAAGGAAAAAATATTTGTGTTTTTAAATGACACATCTTATATCTTTTAATTCTCACAAAGAGGTGAGATTCACATCTTTATATTTTTTGTCCACTCTCTCTCCTCCTTTATCTATTTCTTTCTCTCACTTAAAATGACACAACTTTACATCATTTAAAATGATACACACTTTTTCCAATAAAAAATAGACATGATGGCATCTCTATTAATGATAATACTGGTAAGTGAACAAAATGTTGCAAAATATTTAAATCTAAAAGTAAAAGTATTAATCTTATAAACAAAATTTAGAAAGGTAAAATTTTGATCTAAGAAGTAAAAAATAAAAAAGGACCATATATATTTTCAGGGGATAAGTTATATTACCTGTCTTTTTTTAACATATTTACCTTATTTATCAATATTTAATATTGTTAGATCAGAATCTCAAAAAGAGAAAAAAATGATAAATGTTAATTGAGATTTTAATATGATGGTATTGGAGAGTGATATGCATGATATAGGTAGGGGTGAAATTGAGCCGGCTCGGCTTACGTCAGACCAGACCTAACATATTTTTCGTAAAATAGGCTGAGCTTGGACCTTGAAAAAACTTGTTTAATAAATAGGTTGTAGACCCACTCTCGCAAGGCCTGACCTATAAGCCTACAGGCCGGCCTATATTGTACTATTTATTTTAAATAAAATAAAGTAGAATAAGTATGCTTTGAAGAAAAAACAAAAGATATAAATTTAATCAATTGCAATTATTTAAAACTTAATTACATTCGATTATATTTTAATAGAAATCTGACTTTATTTCTTATGTAGGAGGAACCAACATCTCAACATGTTAGATTGTGTATATGAATATATTAAAAGGTTTTTGGGAGATGTTATACTTACTACAAGCACCATGATGTGTTAGTTGGATTCATGTAGATATTTTAATTTACATAATATGGATTTGTTTGTTGGATTTGATGAAATATATATTATTTAAATTGAATAATTTATTTTTGAAAGTGACTTAAATGCAGATTGTGATGAGTTTTGTTGTGATTCATGATTTTGTTTGGATGTTGAAATTGTGAATTTTGAATATTTTGTGAAGTTGATTCATGTCTCTCCTTGAAAATTAAAAATTAACAGACTAACGGGCTAGGCCAGACCATTTTTATTTTATAAACGGTCCAAGTCAGGCTAATAGTTAGACACGTACTAGGCTTGGGCCATGCGAATTTGATTTTTTTTGGCATAGGGTTGAACTTTTCGGAGAAAAACTTGACTCAACCTAGCTCACTTTCACCCCCAATGATAGGCATGAAAAAATATAAGTAAAAAGCATTTATTATGTACATCATATGTACATACTTGGATACATATTTTTTTCGAAAGAATAAATTTTTCTCCTATTCTAACCCATATCTTTTTAAGAATTTCTTATTAAATCCCATCAAAAATTCCTTTTTGGGAAGGATGTACCATATATCCGCTCCATTGAAGAATTTTTGATAAGATAGATATACATGAAAGGGTTTCAGTTTGATTTTCACATGTCATCTTTGAAAAGAGTTTAAAATCTTTATCTCTGACCAGACCCGCTCTCCGGATTAGTCTTTATGGAGTGTTTGGTAAAGGAGAAAAAAAAATTTACTAGAAAAATACAATTATTAAGAATGTGGAAGAAAAATGAGTTCCGTATGAAAGTTAAAAAAAAATTATTTGGTAGGCCAAAATATTTATCGGAAAATTGAGTTAATTTTACTGAGTCTATGTTTGGTTGAAAATAAAATTTTGGTGGGAAAATGGGTTGAAAATACGAAAATAACCTTTTTTTTAATCTTTATCCAACTCCACACACGGTAATGCTCATATTTGACTTTTTCTTTCTTTTGGGGGTAAAGATATATGAATCATACTCACCGATATAAATTGTTGTTATGCACACCGACAAATTTTACGTTTTGAAAAAGGAAAACCAAAGTTACATCTATGGGTAGCCCAAATTCAAATGATATATGATTTATAAATCTTGATTATGTGCTAAATTTTTACACGAGGATAATGGGCGTTTTCGTCTAACCCATCGTCAATATTTTTCCACTTGCCTTGTTATCTACAAATACCACCTCCAAGGTAGTATTTTGAAATAGTAATTTTTGCATCACTTTACACACAAATCTTATTTGCACAGGGAAAATGGTTGCATGGTATTTTTTTTTCTAAACTTCTACCAAACATGGTGGTGTAATTAAATACCCACTCTCGTATACCCATATTTTCCACAACAAACCACCTACCAAACACCCCCTAGTTGGCTCCAAAATTCAAAGTTTGCGGGATATTAGAGGGAGCCTATTCGCATCAAAGAAGTAATTAAGGTATATTGCTAATATATATATATATATATATATATATATATATATATATATATATATATAGAGTTCGCTTTTTCTATTGTGAATGTAGATATTTTATCTACATAGATAACTTATCTACATTGAGCAAAAAACGACGTCGTTTTGTGGAGGAAATCAAGGTGTTTTTATAATTATAATTTATTTCAGAGTTGTAATAGTTTTTTTCGTTATAATTTTTTAATTTTTTAACCCAAAACGACGTCGTTTTAGGAGCGAATGTAAGTAACTTATCTACGTTCACTTTAGAAACATCAAAGCCATATATATATATAATTTAATATTTTAATTTTATGGAAAGGCTAATAATTTGAATTGACCACCGACAGTTTCTGTATTTCTGATGCCGTATTGGAGTATTGCCACGTGGGTGCTGGGTAATGCAATTAGAAGAAAAAGTACCCTTGGCCTTTTGTGGTATGGGCCGTATGGCAGCCTACCGGAACCCAGCTTCATTTTGCTGTCCCTTTTCGTAAAGAAAATATCTTCCAACTTGGCCTCTAGTTACTGTATATAGGATTTTTTTTGGAATACTACTGCTGTATAGGAATTTAGCTTGATAATGATACATTGACACTTATTTATAATTTTTTATGAAAGTTTTTATTTGGTCTTTTCAAATTAGAGTGTCATTCATTATAGTAAGCATAAAAACAAAATCTGCGCAAATTAATTTTTTAAAAATTTAACGTGTCATCTCATCGCGTTAGTTTTTCAAAAAGTATTGTTAACTTAGTCTTTCAAAAATATAAAATTGGTTAAAAAATTTAAAAGTGTGACACAAAATACAATTTAATAATTATTTTATATTTTTTAAGGATTAATTTTTTCATAAACGTTTTTCAAAAATTTATATAATATTCTTAAATTTTTAAGGACTAATTTGAGTCATGAAGACAGAATTTTGTATAATATTAATATAATAAAAATCTGATTTTTAGAGGACTAAGTAAATGGATTTTTTAATAAATATTTACAACAAATTTTAATATGTTTTATTATTTTATAAAATAAAATAATTTATAAAACCATAAATTTTATTGACGTACAGTCAGTACAGATATGATAATCCAACTTAATTTACGAAAAGTTATATTCTCTCTTATGTTGTTCTTACATAAAAAATATGTCTCTTTTTTATTTTTAAAAATTTATGGACTTCACTTTATTTACCTCTCTCTTTTTGTTTGATAAACTATTTATCTCTCAACATAAGATAATTTATTTCTTATTACATGAGAAAAATAATTTCATCAATTTATACCCATAAAAGCTTTTGTGTAAGAAAAACCAATTTGTTATGTAACGTAATATGTTATAAAAATTTAAAAACCGGTGATTATTGTAATTCTTTTCAGATATCTCTCAAATTTGTATTAAGTATTAAAATTATAAAGTAATAGTATGAAAAGTGAGATAATTTTTATTAAAAAGAATGAGATAAATTTAATTGTAATCAAATAATAAAAAATATATATAAATTAATATATATGTCAGTATGTGTATAACTCAGCCCTAAAAAAAAATTACGACTTTGTTATTCCTGTATTTTTAATAGAGACTTTGCCAATTGATTAGATGCCACTATGCCAGTCCTATCGTGAAAGTGACTAGTGCGATAATTAACAGTTAACGATATTTTAATGTACTCCCTAATGCAATAGGAAACTTAAAATTATATTGTGGGTTGGTGACAGCTTCAGAATTAAATTATTATTTGCAGAATAGGGTGAACCGTTGAACATTAAGATTCATTTAGTTCCATTACACCGTAATTGGTAAGTATGCCATGACTCTTTGCTTGTTTAGCTTTATTTGTAGGTTAAAGTTGATCAACGGTATAGGTTGTGCCAGTTCAATTAAGGGAAGGTTT